TTTAATAACATATTGTATTTAACTCAATATATTAAAGTATTATTTTAACAAGTATTCAACTGAGATACTTTTGCATACTTTCTTTGGTATTATGGCTTCAGAATCCAGTGTGAACTCAGCACACCTCCCGTGCTCAGCACCCACATGGCCTCGTAGCCACCGTGCTGTACAATGGAGCTCCAGGGTTGAGCGTGAGGCCAGACAGACAATTGGAGGTGGCAAACTCGAGTATGCCTCCATGGCCGGGAGGTGATGGAAATGAGTGTGTGAAGCTGGGTGGGGACCATGGCATCCCGGAGAGCTTGTGTCCTGGTCAGCTCTCCCTTCACTCCCAGTGACTGATACCAGGTGGCAATGTGGACCCAGATCCTCTGACTCTTCAAAAGCAGATAGAAATTTGGATTTCTCCCAATTCTTATGTGTTGGCAACTAAGTTTTTGGCATCTCGAGGTGTCAGCCATTCAGGACATGCCTTGGAGCTGTCACTGGGGAACCTCTGGGTTTTGTGCTGAGGGGACGTCAACCTGGAGGGCCAGCCAAGAGGCTGCCCGTCAGGAGTCACCCAGCTCAGTACAGATCTCCTGACGCCCACACGATGTACCGAGCTATGCCAGAGGGGCGCAGACAGGTGCCCAGCACTCAGCTCACCGCCCAGTGTGCAGATGTGCACGGAAACTGGGTTCTATAATGAGAAGTGTGTGAGAGCTGTAGCAGGGGGATCTTCCCAAGGTGACGGACACGGGCAGGCAAGCACTGGTCAGACGGGCCGGCCCCCGCCTGGAGCTGGCCGCCAGGGCGTCTCCTAACTAACTCGGGGAGAGTGCTTCTTTCACCAGGTACGTGCAGCCCCCTGTGATCAGCTTTGAAGCCATCTTCGAGCAGAGCACTCCAAACTCACCCATCGTGTTCATCCTGAGCCCCGGCTCCGACCCTGCCAGCGACCTTATGAAACTAGCCGAGCGCAGTGGTTTTGGGGGGAACCGCCTCAAGTTCCTTGCCATGGGTCAAGGTCAAGAAAAGGTAATTGGTTGTTGGAAGAAACAAGCTCTAAATTTGGGTGAGGTCCCTGGCCTCTGTTCAGAATTGGGCTTCGAGCTAATAGCGCTGCTGCACGTGGGAGCTCCATGTGTTTGGGTCTACGGAGCAGGCATGACATGCTGGAAGGGGGACGGTACTAGCAGTGTGCAGTGCTACACCCGCAGCCCTCTGATGGCTCACCCCACACTCACTCTACTCTGCTGCTCTCAGAACCCTCTCACACACTCATCTCCTCCTCTCCTTACTGCACCCCCTGGTGCGGATCAGGGTTGTCACTGCCCCCATGGCATGGCCCAGGATGGAGCTCTTGGGGCTGAGGGCGGCCACTGAGTGCAGAATGCTCCCTCACCTTCCAGGCCGGGACCAGCCCAGCGGACACAGATGGCCCTGAAGGAATTCTAGGATTGTTTCTTCACAGGGCCCTCTGGAGCCCCCAGATCACCGGCTTGGGGTGGGGGTGGGCCATCGCTTTTGGGGGGCTGGGAGCGGGTCTCTGGGGGATCACGGGCTTGGCGTGGCTTTGGGACCAGCACTTCCCTCCTCCCCCCATTGGTGCAGCTGGCTCTGCAGTTGCTGGAGACAGCGGTAGCTCGCGGGCAGTGGCTGATGCTGCAAAACTGCCATCTTCTGGTCAAGTGGCTGAAGGACCTGGAGAAGTCCCTGGAGAGGATCACCAAGTCCCACCCAGACTTCCGCCTGTGGCTCACCACGGACCCCACCAAGGGCTTCCCCATCGGAATTCTGCAGAAGTCCTTGAAGGTCTGGTTTATGACAGGCACCAACACGCCCACAGCTTGTTCCTCAGCTCACCGGCGTTTGGCTGTGCGTGTGTGTGTGTGTGTGTGTGTTTAGAAATAAACCTAGGATATGGTTGGAACCTCATGGACACCCCTTCCCAATTTCATCTTTCCCTCTCTCTTCAGAGATAAGCACTGTCCTGAATTGGGTGACAATGACTGGGTGACAGTTTGTACTCCTGGGCCTGTCTGTACCACATCTGCATGTACCCAAACCACGTCTCTGTTAGTTTCCATGCACTTCACATTCATTAAGTTTCGTCTTTAATGCTGCCCTGCTCCCGTAGCCAGCAGTACTCCAGTGGCCCACACGCCCCATTTAACTTACTCTCCCGAGAACTTTTGGGAACAGTTTTGTCATCTGCCTATGTGGCAGATAGAGGGAAAATGTAACTGCTTTCATTTTACATTTGAGGACCCCACGGTTCAGAGAGAGGTTAAAGGACCTTGTCTGGGTCACTGGTGGAGCAAATGGCATTGCGAGTACAACACCCACTTCCTTAACTTCTCTTGGTCCCTTAACAAGAGACTTTGGCTATTTGGGGAAGAGACCAGAAGGCTATGTAAGGATGAAACGCCAGGACATCTCCATTCTGCACACCCTTCAGAGCTGTCCGTGCGCCTGCGGTTTCCGTCACCATCTGTGTCCTCGTCTGACAGGTTGTCACGGAGCCACCCAATGGGCTGAAGCTCAACCTGAGAGCAACTTACTTCAAGATCTCTCATGACATGCTGGAGCAGTGTCCACACCCCGCCTTCAAGTCCCTGGTCTACGTGTTGGCGTTTTTCCATGCGGTGGTGCAGGAGAGAAGAAAGTTTGGGAAGATCGGGTGGAACGTGTACTACGACTTCAATGAGTCTGACTTCCAGGTGAGGATGCAGGTGGCTGCTGCTTCTCCCCCAGAAACTGCCCCGCCGGTGGCCTGTCTCATCCCGCCCATTGTTCCAAGCTCACAACAGTCGAGCTGTCCCTGCCCATGTCTTCAGAGGGGTCGGAGTGCTGATGGCTGTGTGGGTTTGAGTATAACCAAGCCTGTTCCTCCTCTGTTAAGGTCTGCATGGAAATTCTGAACACGTACTTAACAAAAGCCTTCCAGCAACATGACCCTCGGATCCCGTGGGGCAGCCTCAAGTACCTCATTGGAGAGGTAGGAGTGTCTTGGGGGGCCCTCCATGGGCCACCTCCCGGGGCTCGAGTGGGGCTGTGTCCTGGCGCCTTTGTGCATGGTCTCAGAGCCCGCGGGTGACCCCCTTGTGCTCCTCCTTCCTCCAGCTGAAGGCCCCTAGGTCCCTGCGGACACCCAGTTGTCTTTGTTCTGAGTGAGCTCTATCCATACGGAGGTTCCGGGTGCATCACCCTGGGGGCTCGACTGCTCCAGCAGTGGGCAGTCCCCGCCCGGCCATGCCTTCGGCTCCTGTTCAGTGGATGTGCGGGTCCACTCTGGAGACCACGACTATATGGAGGGCTCGTGGGAGAGCTTCCCTCAGGGGCCTCACACGGCTCACAGTGTGACAGACCACCCATTCCGAAGACAAGAGTGGCTGCTGGCTTCTTTGGTTGCTTGCTGTGCTTTGAGATTTTGCACACATCATGCGCTGGCTTCCAGCACTTCCTGAGGGCCGCCTGGCCCTGGGCTGTGTGACTCGGCAGACAAGCCCCCCCCCGTATACAGTGGACCACACGGTCTGAGCAGTGCAGTGGCCAGGCTGGCAGGCTGGCACTGAGGGCGCATGGATTTGACCCTGAACCAGCCTCGGGGCCCAGGGTCTCGGGGCACCCCCAGTGGTTCTGGGGCCTGGCCAGCTCTCAGCCCCTGTACCTTCAGGTCATGTATGGAGGACGGGCCATCGACAGCTTCGATCGGCGCATCCTGACCATCTACATGGATGAGTACCTGGGGGACTTCATCTTTGACACCTTCCAGCCGTTCCACTTCTTCCGGAACAAGGAGGTGGACTATAAAATCCCTCATGGTGACGTCAAGGAGAAATTCGTTGGTGAGATTTCTCAGACACCTGAGGGCATCCGAAACGCCTTTCCTCGGGGAGGCCATTCAGTTCGGTTGTTCTGTTTTCTGTGCTTGGCTTGGTGGCTCTTCCGGCCCCTCCTGGGGGGCTCCATGGCTGGTGCTGTGGTCACCTGTGAGGGAGCCTGACGGGCTCGTCCTGGCCTGAGAGCTGATGGACCTAGTTCAGCTTTCCTGTCCTGGAATGGTGGCCGATATATCAGATTCTGCGTGAAGGGCAGAGCGGCCCCTGGGAAGCTCCCTGAGCCGTTTTCATAAAAGACAGAGAGAGCTGGGCTGGGCATGCAGTGTAGTGTGTTCATTTAAAACATTTCCACTGAGCAGTGGAAATGAGTCTTGCGTGTCTGGGGATGTGAGCCTGGGGCCTCCGAAATGGAGGGTGGCATGATGTGTCCCCGCTCTGTCCTCTGTGCTGTAGAGGCCATCGAGGCCCTCCCACTGGCCAACACACCAGAAGTGTTCGGTCTTCATTCCAACGCCGAGATCGGGTACTACACTCAGGCTGCCCGAGACATGTGGGCTCACCTGCTGGAGCTGCAGCCCCAGACAGGTGAGGCGTCCCGCGGAGGCCCATCCACGTGGCTGGGGCCCGGGGCGGTGGCACAAAGTGCTGCTGTTGGTCCTGAGAGCTGGCACATTGCGAAACTGGAAGGCGCAGGTGCCCCAGGCCCACACTCAGGTGCCCTGCTGTCCTAACATGTGTCCTGGTCTCAGGGGAGTCCAGCAGTGGCATCAGCCGAGATGACTACATCGGCCAGGTGGCCAAAGACATAGAAAACAAGATGCCCAAAACCTTCGACCTGGACCAGGTCAGGAAGCACCTCGGGATGGGAATATCGCCCACGTCGGTGGTGCTCCTGCAGGAGCTGGAGCGCTTCAACAAGCTCGTCATCCGCATGTCCAGGTCGCTGGCCGAGCTGGAGAGGGTGAGCCGGCAGACGGATGTGCAGGTCCCGCCCCCACGTGCTGCCTGGGCTCCCTGACCGCCCTTGACTCTGTCCACAGGCCTTGGCTGGAGAAGTTGGAATGAGCAGCGAGTTAGACGACGTCGCCAGGTCCCTTTTTCTCGGGCAGATCCCTAACATCTGGAGAAAGCTCGCCCCTGACACCCTGAAGTCCCTTGGAAACTGGATGGTCTACTTCCTGCGGCGGTTCAGCCAGTACACGTCATGGGTGAGTGAGAGGCCGCTGTCTGGTGGTCGCTTCCAGGGGCAGCCTGGACCCCCTGCGACCACCCCGGCCCCTTCCCCCACCCAGTGCGACCTCTGGAGCAGTCGCTTGGGCGCTCCGGAACTGCCAACTCTACGAGCGTATCTGTATTTTTTTCCCTTTTCTTTGTTTTTAAGACTTTGAAGAGTACCACACACAGCTTGATTGATTCCTCTTAAGCGTCTTAGCACCTCTAGACCCCCTCACTCTTTTTAGGGTACTTCACTTTACAGAGACCCCGCGTCCTGGCTCTGGCGGACGTCTAGGTGGTTCCCAGCATTCAGTGCACATGGTGAAAACTCCTCCAGTGGGGTTGTGGGACTGAGTGTGCGCCTTGTAAACCCTGACACTCTTGTCACGTACTTTTCTAGAGACCTGGAAAACAGCGCGTGAAAGCGACTGTTGCCTTGCGTCTCTGCAACTCTGTGTGTTCTGAGTATTTTGGGTCATTTCTCTCTGATTGGTAAACACGAGTTTGTCTCATTGTTTGGATGTACATTTCTCTGACTATGGTGAGGCTGAGTGTATTTTACATGCGTTCAGACATTTTGTGTTTCATTTTCTGTGAATTGTCTTTTTGTATCTTGGTTTCATTTTTATCAAGTTCTCTGTCTTTTAAAGTTGATTTTTAAGAGCTCTTTGTATATCAAAAAAATTAGCCCTTTGTCTTCCAGGGTTGTAGATATCGCCCAGCGTGTCCTAAGTCTTTTGACTTTGTTTGTGGTATTTTTTCCATAGGAAAGTTTTACATTTTTATGTAGTCAAATGTATCAGTTTTTTCTTTTCTGGCATCTGGATTTTGTATTCCTCGCGCCAAGATTATGACAATATTCATTGGAGATTTGATCTGGTACTTTGGTGGTATTTTTTTATATCTAAATCTTTGCTTCACCTGGAATTTGGCGGTTCAGCTTGCTTTTCCCAAATGGGCTGCCAGTTGTCCCAACACCATCTTTTTGCCACTGGACGAATTACGTTTTTCATCGTGAACACACTTCTAGTCAGGTTGACCCTGGCATGTGATGGCCGCCCCAGGCTCCCTCCAGCTGCCCCCCTTCTCTCCAGGTCACCGAGGGTGAGCCCAACGTGATGTGGCTCTCGGGGCTGCACATCCCGGAGTCCTATCTCACAGCCCTGGTGCAGGCCACGTGCCGGAGGAACGGCTGGCCGCTGGACCGCTCCACCTTGTTCACGCAAGTGACCAACTTCCAAGATGCCGATGAAGTGACAGAGCGGGCAGGACAAGGTACAGTCAGCTCCTGACGGATTTCCAGCCTCTCTAGGGTCTCCCTCCCTGAGCCACCCCCGACTGAAGGGATGAGTGCCGCCTGGGCCCGAATGGGCCGGGCCACGGTAGGAAGTCAGGCAGCTGCAAGTACTGGCTATCTGTGCACTGCCCGTGTCCTGACGTCCGTGAGGGTGAGGACACATCGGAGGGTGAGGACACACACTTCTCTTCCGGGTTCTCCTTTGAGACCCCTGGGGTGAGGTCAGGGGAGGCCTGAGCCATGTTCACCCTGCTGGTTTGTGGGAAATGGGCTCCTGGGTCAGAATCAGATATTTCAAAGAACCAGATCACCAGGTGGCTTCCCTGGAAACCACAGGGGCCTAGGGCCTGGGAGCCAGAGACAGCGTGGACCAGATCAGAGCCATTACCTTCTGCTGTAACTTCAAGCCACTTCGACACTGGTCACTGACAGGGCAAACTGGAGCCGGAAACTGCTGTCTCCTGGGGCCATGTTATCTTAGGGGACATTTAACCACAAATACCCAAACCCCCTTGAGCTGTTGAGAGGATTTATGGTAAACATTCGGGAACGCTCATCGTCCTGGTGTCACAAGGCCAGTGAAGTCTCAAGAGGACCGGCTGGTGTCGGGGCCACCACGCTCTCTGGGCCTGTGGACTGTCCTCTGCGTGTCTGTCATGTCCTCGTCCTCAGAGACCACTTTCTTTGCCAGGTTTTGGCTTCCTGCTCCTGGTCACTCTGGCTCAGGCGGGATATGGGCTTGGCGTGGTGCCAAATGACTGATGTTTTTACAGCACAGGGGCCCAAGGCCGTCTCAACCTGTGTGTCTTGCTGGCAGATGACTGGGGAGAGGCAGCCACCCCGCGTCCATTTCACTGAGGCCATCCGGGAGGGTCATGGGGTCTGCAGAGTGTCCCGTCTGGGCTGCTCCTCTGCAAAGGGAAGGTGGGCAGGGCAGAAATGACAGCTCCCTTTTGGAAAAAGCCCTGGGCTGTGTCTGGGGAAGGAGTCCGTCAGTCGCCGTTCTGTGTGTTGGATATGTGCATCAGAGAGAGCTGTCACACAGCGGACATGTAGGTCCCTCTATGTCAGTCCCGGCTCTCTTCCTGGTGCCTCTAGGATGCTTTGTGTCAGGACTATATCTAGAAGGCGCCGACTGGGATACAGAAAGAGGCTGTCTCATCAAGAGCAAACCCAAGGTGCTGGTTGTGGACCTGCCCATCCTGAAGGTCATCCCCATCGAAGCCCATCGCCTCAAACTGCAGGTAGGAGGCCCACGCCACTCCGCTGGCCCCGCTACTCTGCCGTGTGTAGTTACACATGAGGCGGTTTCAGGAGTCTTGCCTTTGAAAATGGGCGCTTGCCCCCTCGTGTGTGGGGGAAGCCTGTGAGACACCCTAGCTGCGTGGAGTCACCACCAGGAAAACGCACATGCACACATGCTGTCTGCAGACTTCCGCAGGGGGTACAGATTCCAGGTCAGAAGCTGAGTCCAGACTAACTCCAGGAAGGACTCCTGGCTTCTCGCGAAATTCTGTGGGCCGTGCTGGAATCATAGTTACCGCTGGTGTGGACGGCATGCGTCCCGCTTTGCCCGGCCGGGACCCACTTTTAACGAGTGTGTCTATGGGAAGTTAGCAGCCACGTGGCGTGTTTTCTTAGATACAGCCGTGCAGGACGGCCGCTGCACTCTTAGTGCAAAGAACAAGCCTTTACCCCTCCCGTGATGAGCAGTCTCTTGACTCAGGGACTCCTCACCGCCTTTCCTTTGCAGAATACCTTCCGGACGCCGGTCTACACCACCTCCACCAGACGGAACGCCATGGGGGTTGGCTTGGTGTTTGAGGCCGACCTCTTCACTACGAGGCACATTTCTCACTGGGTGCTGCAAGGGGTCTGCCTCACCCTGAACTCTGATTAACCCTCTGGCTGAAGGGTGAACAGTGATCAAGTCGGCTGTCATTTCTTGGGGCCTCTCAAGAGGCAGGAGGGGACTGATGATTTTTCTTTCATTTGAAATAAGCCATTTTAATCTCTTTCCACAGAAATTAACCTGGTTTTGTTTTTTTAAGTTTTTTTTAGGATTGAAAAAAAGTAAACTCAATACGAGAGCATTTTGAGATGTTAAGTTTTCTTTTCCTTCTCAGAGGAAATAGTTAAGATTGAGCAAAAGTGCCTGGCTTGTCACTGGCACAAGTGAAAATTCTAATGTAAGTTTTCAAAGGCGTGTTTTTGATGATCCGGGTCTGTTTCAGCAGATGCCTCTTTGGGGCAAGATCTGTCTGCTGAGGTGTGGGGTACAAGGCCCAGGTGCTGGGCGGGCTCAGGCAGAGCCCTGCTTCCGTGGGTAGATGATGCCGGGCACAGAGCAGAGGTGCTCCATCACTTCCAGCGCCTCCTCCCCCTTCTAGAACCTCTGGCCAGTTTCCGGTCTGTCAGCGTGCGGGTGAGGCCGTTGAGCTGCCCCCACCCTGCCTGGGTCTGTGTGGGGATGGTCGCTACTGGGTGTCCCTTCCTTGTGCATGCCATGGGGCAGCCTGGAGCCCTGGCCAGGCCCAACGGGAGGTGGGCAGTGGCTTTACTCTTTGAGGGAGGGGCCAGGCTGAGTGCTGGCAGGACACAGGGCGGGGGCCAGAAATGGGCAAGAGTAGCTTTGCCAGAACTTCAGCAGCACAGAACGTGCTAATGGATGGTCCCGGCAGTGAGAGTAACGGGACCTCGCTTTCTGGAAGTAAAAACCCCCACCCTCCCAAGGGCGAGAGTGCAGTAGTTACGGGGTACGGTGGGGTGGTGGTGTCCTGCTGTTTCTCTCCCCCATCCACTCTCCTCCTAGCCCCTCCCTCAGGTGGTTTAATAAAAGACACAGAACAGAAAGAAGGCAGGTTTAGAAAATAAAGTTTGTTGGGATCTTGAACATTTTGGATAAAACTAACAAAAAATATGAACACACATTCAGGTTGTGGTGATACGAGGAGCAATGTCATCTTATTTAGTTCCTGTGACATACACATACAGCTGCTCGCTTACGGTGCCGCCTGGGGAAAGGTGTCTCGGGAGGTTACGGGGTCTCTGGGCGGGAGCAGAGGCTGCTCCCCACAGGCTGCCCTGGAAACCGGAGGGCTAAGGTCAGGGGGGTATGTGTGGCTCTGGCTGTGGACGTAGGCATGTGGCTATCTGATTTCATTAGCATTGAGAGTAATGCAGCCTGTGGCCTGCGCGCTGCCCACGCGCGCACTGAGCTACACCGAGTGGGGTCAGAAGCAAGCCGCTGGGCACGCAGGCGTCTGGCCACGCGGTTAGTAAATACGTGTTCTGCAGCAGGGGGCGCGGTCACATTCTGGTGTCTGAGAGAGCAGGTGGGGTGGGAGGAGAATTACCTGTGACAGGTCTGAAAAAAAATTGGCATGCATGGAAATGAAAACTCAAAACAAAAAGGAGTGGCTGAGATGTTCCTGTGGCGATCACAGTGAGTGGACAGCCGGTGTGGGCCGCCGGCGGGCTTCACACAGTTCTGTCCGTCCCTGAGTGCTTCCTCACAGCCTTGCCTCCGTTCACCTGGTCGATCGCCAGCGTCTCCACCTCGGCCTGGGCCTGGGGCGGGGTGACGTGGTGGATACGGTGTGCCACCCCTACATGGGCCTTGTGCGGCTTCTCGCGGGCCGGGCTGTGCTGCTCGCCCGCGCTGCGGTCGGACGCGATGGGGGGGATGACCAGGGGCCTCTCTTTGACGAGGTGGACCTCGGCCGGCTCCCGGGCTAGCAGGAACGGGGTGGGGTCAGGCATGGCATCCACGGCTTCCCGCAAAAGAAGTTTCCGGCTCTCGCCCCCAAATCTGTAGGCCTCTTCAAACTCGGGGTGCAGGGGGGCGGACAGGCTCTTTTTCATGCTGCGGCGGCGGGGCGTTTCGGGCAGCTTGTCTCTGAGGGGGGCTGGCTTGTAGCTGGCCAGCACGGGGCTCCCGGAAGGGCTGCCGTCCCAGGTCCCGCTGGAGCCGAGCAGCTTGCGCTTGGTGGCGTGCAGCTGCGAGGTCAGGTAGGCAATGGTGCCGGCCCGCTGCTCCAGCTCGCCCGACAGCATGTTCAGCTTGTGGCTCTTGACCTTGAGCTCCTCCAGGTACTTCCGCTCCCGCTCCCGGATGGTGTTCTCCAGCACCGCGATCATGGCGTTCTTCTGCTCCAGCTCCCGCAGCAGCTCCTGGCTCTCCTGCTCCTTGGCCTGCAGCTGAGCTTCCAGCTCGTCACATCGTTTCTTCAGTTCGCTGCTTCTAGAAGAGCCGTCTCCTAGAGGAGCGAGGGGAGGGACCAGGTTGAGAGCCCACTGCAGACGCAGCAGGACCTCCCGAGTGTGGGGTTCCTGCTCTTACCACGGGTCCTCCGTGGCCGCGCCCCTCAGCGAAGCGGAGAGCCCGGGGGGCCTCTGAGGCCCTGCCAGCTCTTAGTTCTTTGGTTTAGTGTAAAAAGAATGTCTCCAAATTTGACAACTGCTCAAGCTGAAACGGGCAAATTCAGAGTTTTTGACCTTACAGATACTTAGGATTACGCTGCTAGCAGATCACCTGTGTGCTCAGGTGATGGTTACTGAATGCGGCTCCATGCAGAGCTCTGTCCTGAAGGACAGACATAAAACGTCCCGGTGTCTGAAGCACAAAAACTCTGAAGTTGCCAAGCAGACAGGGGGCCCTGGCGGTCAGGCGGGCACTCGCGTGCGTGGGCACCTCTGAGACGAGGCCGCAGGGCCAGAGACAGTAAAGAACTCGCCACACAGCTCCTCGGGGCGGATGGGAGGCCGGAGTCCAGGGCTATGTGGACTGAGGCTTGTTGGGTCTGACTTTTCAGGGCCCCCAGGAGGGAGTGCGTGGGCCTGAGCCCCCTTCCCCTAGACTCTTGGCGGCCAGCTGCTCCCACGAATCAGGGCCTCCTGCTTTGTCAGTTCTCCTCCACTCTTCTATAGGAGGCTCTGCTCCACCTCCTCCTCTGCACACATTCCTTCTAGAAGTTTCCATGTTTCCCCATGAAAGCTGCATGTGCATTGCGCTGTGGCAGCAGCTGCTCTTTATCACCTGAACAGACAGTGAATCACGGGGGGCACTTTTTAAACAGATTCCCAGGCCCCCTCCCGGACTTCTGGATCAGAACCTCCAGGAGCCTGTATGTCCCAGCTGTGTGCCCAGCGCTTTGTAGGATGGGCAAGCTCTGCGTGCACTAGTGACTAGTGGAGAGCAGTGATTTCCACCACGCAGAGGGCAGGTGTGCCCACCAGGACCACCTGTGAGGCCCTCTCACTGCCTCCACAGGACACCCCGTGCCAACCGTTCCCACAAGCCCCTGCCACCGACAAGGGGCTGACCGGGTGAGGGGGGGTGGCCTTGGGACTCAGGGCAGAGACATTAGCCTAAGCCAAGAGGGGTCAGGAAGTGAGGACGCCCTGATTTCTGTGACACGATGGCAGGGGTGTGGGCTGAGGTCTCCAACTGGAGGTGACCTGTTCTGAGTCCCTGGAGGCCCAGTTCCTGGCCCCAGAGGCTGTGGGGGAAGGAGGGGCACTTGGCATCCTTCCTCCACAGCGGGACCCCCTGAGGGTGAGCTCCTGTTCCCAGACCCCGCCTCTAGCAGGAGACTGTAATATGAGTAACAAGGGAACTGAGTGCTGGGCAGTGCGCTAGGCTGACATGACAAGGAACTGGGCGCACTCATGAATAACAACTGCGAGTCCGGTTTAGAAGAAGCAGTCCTGACTCACATGCATTCTGCACTTTCTCTGCCCCCACTCTGTACTCTGTAACAGGTCACAGAGTTCCTGTTTTTGTTCTGATATCTGGGGGTGGGGTGGGTGTCCCTGAGGTCCTGGTTTGGGGGAAGCGTTTTGGGAACCAGAGTCTAGGGAAAGATGCTCAGTGATGCTTTGGGGGCCACCTAGTAATCTGATCACTCACTCGGCCAATATTTAGGGAGCACAGGTCCTCTGCTACATGAGAGGGACCCGGGGGAGGTGGGACCCTGCTCCTCTTTCTGTGTTAAATTATACCTATTTCTTAACTACAAAGTAACAGATATTCATCAGAGAAAATCAGAGAATCCAGAAAAGCATTCCAAATAGTATATGTGTCGGGTGGAAGAAGATAAAAGCAGCTACTGCCCCCGCCCACTGGCCCGGTCACACCCAGGGCTCCAAACGTCCCTGCCACCGATGCTTAGGCTGCACGTGCACCTCTTACAGCAAAGGTGTTTTCTCAGGGAAGCGAGTGACACCAACGTGTGCCCCACAGGAAACGTACCGTCGCTGACTTTTGGGGAGGAAGCTCTTACCTGTCTCTTCTGAACTTTTGAGTGTCAGCTCGTATGTTAAATCTGAAAAGGAGAGCACAGACGTTGTTTGTGTGTGGTTCCAGCGTTACTTCACCAGCTTCCTCAGCGCTGAAGACGCAGACCCCACTCCCACAATCAGCCCCGTGTCCTGCCTGGGCAGAGCCGGCTGGGCAGGAAGTGTGAGGACGGCAGAGACTCTCGGCAGCCACTGTCCTCCCTGGGGTTCCGAGGGGGCCCTGCTTTTCCCCTAAAACATATCCCAGCCCACAATCAGCAAGCGGCTAGCTCTGTATGTGACACCTTGGTCATCAGCTGCAAAACGTGTTGCAAATTCTAACCACTGCACTTTGATCTCATATGTCCTCGGTATGTGAAGAAAGGCTTTGTGGCTTTCTGCCTGGTGCGTGTGAAGTGCCTGTGGATTCCAGGAGGATGAAATGCCCTCTCACTCGATCTGGCGAGCCAGCCACCATGAACCTGCTCTGGTAAGGGTTCTGCTTTGCACTACAGCCCCTGGCAGGCCTGCCCCCCTTTCCTGCGCGCCCCCTCCCCACGGTCGTGGGGCCCCCTTGGCACCTGTGCAGTGTTGCTGCAGCCGCCTGATCTCGGCGTGCAGGCCCTTGAGCGTGCTGGCATGCTCCCGCTGCAGGAACAAGACGTTCTTCTGCGCGCTGTGCAGCTGGTTCTCCAGGTTTGTGGCTGCCATGCTGGCATCCAGGTGACCTGCGGGAAACACAGACCCTGGTCGCTGTCCCTGACAATGAGGGTCACAGGGTGGAAGAGGACGCTGCCTGCCCATGGCCCTCTTTGTCTCTGTGGGGTCACGGGCAGCATGAGGCCCAAGTCCACACAGAGGGACACATCAAACCCAGAGCTCCCTGGTTCCAAACCCTGGCCTCTCCACAGGCCACCGAACCACAACAGAGCGTGACCAGAATCTCTCAAAAGAGTTCTCTGACCAGGTAAGCACTGACTGCCACCCCACAGGGAAACTGAGGACATGGGGTGAACGTGTCCTCAAAATGGTGTCTTGACCTGGCCAAAGTGAGGCATCAGGGCAGACGTGGGTGGGACGCAGAGGGACGCCCCTGGGTTTCACAGAGCTAAGCCCCCAATCCTTCTTGGGAACTTCCCAAGAATGATCTCACAGGGCCACTGGTGCCTGCAGGAGTCTGGAGTCTGTCCCCAAACCCTGCCCCCACCCCTGCACCGTGACCTCCGTCATCCATCACCAGCCGCTCACTCAGGGCCTCAGATCCTCTGCCTTTCCTGTAACTCGAGAAATGTGGTGAAGTCAATCGGTCTTTCTGGAAGAGCTACCAGAGAAATTCAAGATGCCCTGCCAGTACTGAGAAAGGCAAGGGCCGGAATGTGGATTGTTTGTAAATGATTCCTGTAAGTGCAAAGCCTCAGAATGCGTGTTTCCCCATGTATTATGTCAGAGGCCTCGCTGGAGGAAACACCACTTCTCAAAGGGCTTCCAGTCTGTGGCACGTCTGTAGGATGGCTCTGGAGAGAACAACACCCCCAGGCGCTGTCACAATGCTGGGCGGGCGACACCCACCACTCTGTTATCTGTGAGGCCAGCCACACAGTTACACCCCAGCTCCGGAGCTCAGAATAGTTCGTCCCTGGAACTCGGGACACACAGCTTCATTCACATGAGACAGTTTCCCGTGATCGCCTCAGGCCACAGGCTCCAAAGGAAAAGTAAAGAAACGCAGAGGAGGAAACAGCACAGCAGACAAGGCCTGACCTGTCCTGCAAAGGAAGAAGGTGAGGGAAGACGGGCCATCCGTTAGGGGCAGCTGGCAAGGGAGAGCAGTGGCTAAGGAAACAAAGCGCCACTGGGGGTGGCAGCGTGAACTGGTAAGCCTTGTTATGGGAAGCCATCTAGCAGAGTGTCTGGAACCTTCAAATCCAGCGTCCTCTGACTTAGCAATTTCATTTCTAGGAATCCGCCAGAGGGAGGTAATTACTTTTGTGTGAAAAGATGTGGCTGTGAGAGTGGTCATCACAGTGTAGTTCACGGTCAGAAAAGACTGGAAACCTCCAAATCCGACAAGAGGGACCTGGTTACATAAATGACAGTGATGGGCTCTGTGAAACAGAGACTGGCCTCCCCCGGCCGTGGCCCTACCTGCATCTGGCCGCAGGTGATGGCGGAGCTGAGTTTCCATCACAGCTCCCTCCTGGGAAAGGCCCCGGCCCCAAACTCATCCCTGCTGTGACCACAAACGCCTGGCATGGCCGCTGGGCCAGGTGCTGCTTTCTACCTGGAGCCCCGTGGTTCCTGAGATCCGATCTGGGAACTGTCCGCTCAGCACGCAGCCTGGGGAGGAGGACGTGGGCCTTAACAGAGGAGCCGACTCCGGCCAAGGCGAGGCCGGGCAGTGGGTAGTGAGGGACCTCTCTCCTCCCTGCACGTGGCAGAGCCCCGAATGGTCTCCATGACGAGTGGGCTCTGACCCACAGTGACTTTGCTTAGCAGGTCTGAGCCGTTGGCTCCGGCCTCGGTTTCTCACCTGGAACGTGAATTCCTAGGCTCTGCAACGGGTCTGGAAGCGGCCACTCCGGAGGAGATGCCCCGCCATGGACTTTAAAAGGACAGGCCCAAAGCTGCCTAATGGCAGAAAGCAGAGCCCACACTTCAGGGGCCACCACTGAAGAGAAAGAAGAGTTTCAAGTGGATCCAGAACAGCGTGGGTCTGGACTGGCAGGACAGCGGACCCGGCACGTGGTCTCAGCCCCGGGAAGCACACTCGCACCCTCCTGCTGGGAAGTCTGTAGGACGCGAGCGCTTCACCCAGTCCACTGTGGTGTACTTAGGCCACTGTCACTCCTCACCCAGGCTCTGCAAATAAACATTCCTCGTCCTCTCGCCTCCTCGGCTCCATGCTCCACAGAGTAGCCAGAGTGACTTAAAGAAGTAGGAGATTTGTGTCAGAACCTTCCATGTGGCTATGGCTCTGAGCACTAAGTGGGATCACGTGGCCCTGTGACACGCGGCCCCAACGGTGCCACTCGCCTCCAGGTCTTCGCACCTCGGTGCCCAGAACACTCCTCTTGGTACTTCTTCTGCCACCTTCAGGTCACTTCCTCCCAGACGCCCTGGCTCCCCAGACTGGGTGAGGTCACCCACTCCTGGCCCTTCGGCCTGTGATGGCACCAGAGTGTGAGCTGGTCCCCACCTGCGCACACTCCAGGCTGCACTGGTTCGACCAGTGGGCCCCAGGGGCCGTCTGCTGAGTGTGGGGTGGCGCCTGTGGGGTGAAGGGCCTTTGTTCCCAGACTTCCTGCTGATTGACAGGTGCTCCTCACTGCAAGCAAACAAAATTCCACAACAGTCTGGTCCAGCCCTGATAGTATAAAATGAGGTGTGCCTATTCCTGCTTCTGTCTGCCACCTTACGGAGAGGGGGGAAAGGGAACCCCGGCAGCAGCCACCCCATCCCAGCCGTAGTGTGGTATGAAATTATATTTGTACAAACTTATGATTTAAATAAGGATTCACATCGTAACTGCCTTGGGGAATCAGTGACTTTGAAGTGTACTCAATCTGTAATTCATTAGTTCACCATCGTAACTACAGAAATTACAACGTGCCCTTGAAGCTGCCCATTACCACGGGCGGGCAGTCTCGGGAAGCAGCAACCCAAGGGCACAGGAATGGCGTGGTTACTTAGCGTGCACAGCCGGCAGGGCAGCCTCGATGACTGCGTCTGGGGCTCCGACAGCCAGAGGACAGGTCTCTCAACCCTGTGATACTTCACTTGGCGCTGGCCTCCCCTTCCACGCTGCATGTTGACCTCAGAATCTCAAATGAGGCGGCTCTCATTTGCGTGAGGTGCTCTCCAGTCGTGGGATACACACGAACAAGACAGGTCCTCTTGGGTCCGAGGAAGCAAGTCCCATCTCCAAATGGTGTCCAAATTACCCAGTTATTTTCTCAACAGCTCCAAAGCTCAACAACATCACTGACTTCCAGAGAACAGAGAGCTGCTGTCGCCTAAAAGGTGATGTTTTAATTTCTTATCCTTAGCTACTGATGACATGTAATCACTGTAATGACGCAATCCTTCCAGTAGGTTGACATGAAGGAAGCTACAGAAACTGCGTTCCGTTTGGGCCAAGGAGACGCAGCTGAGAGATGTAGCTCTTTTGGAGGAAGAAACCGCACCAGGCCTGCGAGGCTTAACTCAGGATTGCTGAGACACCGTGGCAGTCAGAGACACGGGGGCATCCCTGACCCGCCACTAAAAAGGTCAGCGTGATGGATGAAGGCAGAAACGCATGGCGTCCACTCGGATGAGTAATGCCTCCTGCTCACCCAACCCCAGCTGCGTGTCGCCCAGTAATGGAGGGTGACAGCCACAAAGCATGGCTTGCCAAGCCCGCACTTTTCTGTGTCACAAGGGCACGTCCTACCAATCATGGGCTCTTTGTGTCACAGCGTTTTGTCATGAGGCAATCCAGTTTTGTTTCTAAGCGTTGCTGGGAGCCATCGACAATTTCACGGTCATTTGCTCAGCCAAAAGCAGCACGGCCAGGGCCCTGGCCCTCTCCTCCTCTCGGAGACGCTGCCCAAAGCCGCACAAAGTGGCTCCCTGTGACTGTCATTCCAGGGCTCCACAGATGAACATAAACAGCTCTGCCAGGTTTTCTCCCCACAGAGCTTCAGCAGACAACAGGATGGGCACCTAAAGGTAGAAGACCTGAACAGGCGACCTTGACGTGATTCAGACGTTAAGCCACATAGACGTGTTGTTCCCCATGGTAAGTTCTCTAGGTTATTACATTTCTGTTAATTTGCTGTTCACTCTGTACATTCAGAAAATTAACACCAGAAAAAGACTTTCCATTCCAAGTTCTGTGGAGGTGGGTTCTATAGGGAATGGGAACCCGGCCAACACGGCACCCCAGGGCGAGGAGAAACACTGACACATCTCCTAGGCTTTTAATGAAGGTTCTCGGAGGGCCTGGCAGCACCGAGTCTGCTCTGTGGTAGCCTGAGGACAAATGGCCTGTCAGTAGCTCAAGTCCAATTCTCATCCTAACTCAAAGGTAATGTTCTTTCCTCTCTTTCGGGAGATTAATGTATAAATGGTGATGTCATAATCGTATTTATGGGCCATCTCCACTTGTATGAGCCAAGTGCATGCCCATCACTTACATCGTGTGTTCTCACAACACCCCTCTGAGGAAAAGCAGGAGTATCCTCTCGACAAGAGAAACACAAATCAAGAAATGCTGCCTGAGTCTTGCAGCTTCCCCTCGCTCGCCCTTAGGTTGTTTGGGTGGGAAGCTTGAGGCTGCGGTCGATTTGTTTCACACAGAAATTCAGATGCTTTCCAAAATGTGTCCGTCCGTCTCTAATGGTCTGCAACAGGGGAAATGGGCACAGCACGCTGCAGCTGGGGAAGGGAACCCGGCAGCCCCCAGCACGGCAGCCAGGGCGCTGTGACCCGCCCGGAACAGCACTGCTCAGGGAGGCAGGACCCACGGGCACTCTGCCCCCAGGTGAGACTCGACAACTGAAAGGCACCGCCTCCATCCAGCGTGGCCGAGAGACGCACCGCGAGTCTTGCTTTGAACAGCAGCTCAGTTTCCCAGGACGTGAGGTGAGGGCAGGCATTCTGGGCCCACGGGGCCTTTGTAAGGCACAGGGCTGCCTCAGGAGAAGGGGACAAGGTGCCCATCGCACTGCAGGTGTGTCCTGAGCCT